TGCCCAATAGCCAGTAGACTAGGTGGGGCTAGGAGATGTAAAGAATCCTGGAGAAAAAGAGGCAGAGAGGTGCTTCAGAGGGATGCCATGTAGCTGCCGAATAGTAAGAGGTCTGGGAATTCTCCAGTAAGCAAAGACCCTGTGGGAAGGGAAGACATATATTAACAGAAATGGGTTAATAATTAAGAAAGCGCTAGCCAGTAAGTAGCCATAGCCATTGGCCAACAGGTTATAAGTTAATATAAGTCTTTGTGTGCTTATTTGGGGCTGAAGCGGTTGTGGTCCCTCGCAGGACAAGAAAATCAAGCAACAAGGAAATGCTTGAGAAACGTTCTGGATAACAGGACATGTTTAGATGAGGTAAATTCTGTAAGAGGTGTCCCGGTGCATAGGCCATCAGGATCCTGGAAGTTTAGAAGACACAAAATAGTCAGGGAACTCACTTAATGATGCATGTTTTAGGAAGAAGATGCCTAGCCTTCTTCAAGATGTTAGCATCACCAAACTTAGGGAATGACACCTGTCTGCAAGGTTCAAGATGGCTGTCAGTCAACCCAAATTTCACTTCATTGTAAGGAAAGAGGACAAAGGAAGAGAAGGCAAGCTGATTTCATCTTACAGAGACCTTCCAGAAGTTACACATACCATGTTTGTGCATAATTATCAGAGATTGGAACATACATGGCCACATGTGGCTACAACAGAGGCTGGGAAATGCCATCCTGATGGTGAGCTTAGTGTTTCCGTCCTTCAGGCAGATGGAGTGCTAGTTTATCATCCTGTGACAAGCACCCAAGAAAACCAATTTAATGGGAGGGAGGATGTTTGACCAACAGTTTCAGGACTCTGAGTGGATGGTTGGATGCTTCAGTGCTGTGGGCCTGTGGTCAGGCAGAGCATGATGAGAGCAATAGCTTGTGATGGACAAAACAGCTCACCTCATGACAGACAGGAACTATGTACAGAGATCCACACACCACTAGCTTTCTCCTTTCCTCTTCCATTCCCCCCAGACCCCAGGCTATGGGATAGCAGAGGCATTTTTCAGAAGATGACCAGTCTGTGAAAATTTATTACCTTGCAAACGATTTAATTTACAAGTGGTTAAAATTACAAAGGGACAGTAGTTTACAGGGCAAAATGTATTTGATGAGAAATTAGAGCTTAATTAGGCTAAATGTTCAGGTTCAGTGTAATGTTATTTTCCTGACATCACAGAGATGAAAAATTAGAGAACTTTACTTTTCACAGCATCAAAAATACAGTGAAAGGGGCTGGAGAGGTGGCTCAGAGGTTTAGAGCACTGGTGCTCTTCCAGAGGTCCTGAGTTCAATTCTGAGCAACCACATGGTGGACCACAACCATCCATGGTGAGATCTGATGCCCTTTTTTGGCCAGCAGGCATTCATTTCGATAGAACACTGTATACATAATAAATAAGTATAATAATAGAGTGAAAAGATTCTGACCCAAAGGCAAAGTCCTTGCTCTCTCTTCTAGTGTATTTTTGAGTTTACACATGCTCTGACAACTGAAAGCAGATACACCTCTTCTTAAACATTTCTTCCTAAAGACAGACACTATACAAGATTTGTAAGCTATAAAATACAACAGTTTTCAGAAGTTATAATCCGGAGCCTTTGTATAGCTTAAGAAATTCTATTTGCTAGAGTTAACTGTTTGCTTAAGTTATAAACTTTATTCATCGTGGGAAATTGAATTTTCTCCCCTTTTTTATAATTAATCTCATTATCACCATATGCATTACTGTTAAAGTTTCCAGTATTTTCCATGCAAACCTCCTCCATATTTTCTCCCTATAGCTGGGTAAATGAAATATGGAGCTTGAAGAATATTCATTTCTAAAATTTGGCATGAAAAACCATTCTTATACAGACTCAAGACACATTTGTAAACCCTAATCCATGGGGTTCTACCAAGTCAGCATAAGGAAGCCCCAGTCATTAGAGTCTCTGACCATGAATTTGAGAATTTAACTCTCTCCTGTTTTTTAGTGTCTCACTGTGAATGGCAAACACACATATGGGATATACAAACAAAATTGAGAAAATCTTCCAGCATTTCAAAGAGAAAACCAAATAATCAAACAGAAACCTCCCTGAAGAAGCCTAGAAAATGAAATAGGAGATAATTTTGAACTAGAAAAGATATCTAAAATATTGTGTAAAGGAGAGGCCACTTTGAAATAGCAAGAAAGATGATGTCATCAACTGTAAATTGAGAGATGACCAAAAAGGCAAAGACATAGAAATAGGAGAGAAAAAAATATAGATATCACTCCAGGGTATTACTCAAGTCATCACTGATGTGAACAGCAACAGAAAGTGAAGGGACAGAAAGTATCAGAAGACACATAAGACACTAGTTCTCCATGATAGAAGACTTCAGGTCTAGGTAGAGTTCAGACAGCATTGATCATCTTGACAGAAGAGATCCCCCAGGGCTGACATTATGCAATTGTGGATCACTAAAGGCAAAGCTAGTCTTTATTACAGCAGCTCCTGACTTCGTGTGATAAGCAATGGAATTCAGGCAAAAAGGATACTATGGCTTCAGTGGGCAGGAGGAATGCCCAAGCTATCAAGAATGAACATAGAACAAAACAGTTTGAAACAACCATTTAAAAGTTTACCTGACCTGTGCAAAAGAAATGTGCCACCAGGACTGAAGGAGAGGAACAAGGACGGCAGGGAAGAAAGAGGAAGGGACAGTCAAGATCTGTTGGACGGTTTGCTGATGCACTAACAGGAGAGCACATGGGAAACAAGGAAAATGGGGAAAGTAGACAATTAACTGCAGGATGCAGGAAGGTCCTGGATAGATATTCTACAAACACTTAGAGACCATGGATACCAGCCGAGACTATGATACCCAGCAAATCTTTCTATCACTGGAGATTGAGAAAAGGAGACATTCCATGACAAAACCAGATTTAAACAATACATGTACACTAATCCAGCACTGCAGTAAGTACTGGGGCAAAAACGCAAACCTAAGGAATTAACTACACGCACAAAAACAAGGCAATAGATAACCCCACTTACAATTAGCTATAAGAAAAAGAGGGGTAAATCCACACTCTATACCACCACCACCAACTGATCCAAAACAGAAGTATTAACAGTCAATGGTCATTAATTTCCCTCAATATTAATGGTCTTAACTTGCCTATAAGTAGACACAGGCTAACAGAATGGATAGGAAGACAGAATACATCCTTCTGCTGCATACAAGAAACACACCTCAACTTCAAAGACAGACGTCGCCTCAGAGTAAAGAGTTGGTATAAGATCTTTCCAATCAAATGGACCCAAGAAACAAGCTGGTTTTGCTGTCCTAACATCTAACAAATTGGACTTCAAACCAAAATCAATCAAAAGAGATGGTCATTTCATATTCATCACAAGAAAAATTCATCAGGATCAAGTCTAGATTCTGAACATCTATGCCCCAATTATAATGTCACCTATGTTGGTAAAAGAAATGTTACTAAATCTGAAATCACACATACAACCTCACACACTTATAGTGGGAGATTTCAACACTCCACTCTCACCATTAGACAGGACTGCCAGACAGAAACTTAACGAAGAAACAAAGGAACCAACAGAAGTTATGATCAAATTGTGTTTAACAGACATCTATAGAACATTCCATGCAAACACAAAAGAATATACCTAATTCTCAGAGCCACATGGAACCTTCTCTAAAATCAAACACATACTCCGCAACATAGGAAATCTCAACAGATACAAGAAAATTGGAATAACCCCCTGTATATTATCACACCACCATGCTTTAAAGTTAGAATTCAACAACACAAATTGTAGAAACCCTACAAAGTCACGGAAGTTGAACAATGTAGAATAGCACCATTCCTGGGTCAAGGAAGAAATAAAGAAAGAAATTAAAGACTTCCTAGAATTTAATGAAAATGAAGACACAACATACCCAAACTTATGGGACATTTTGCAAGCAGGACTAAGAGGAAAGTTCATAGCACTAAGTACCCACATGAAGAAAGTGGAGAATAGTCACACTAGAGAATTAACAGCACAAATGAAAACTCTATAACAAAAGGAATCAAACTCAACCTGGAGGAGTAGATGCCAGTAAATAATCAAATGGAGGGCTGAAAACAATAAAGTAGAAACAAAGAAAACACTACAAAGACTAACTGTAACAAAGAGTTGGTTCTTCAAGAAATTCAACAATATAGACAAACATTTAACCAAAGGAACCAAAAGGCAGAGAGAGAAGATGCAAATTAAAAAAATCAGAAATTAAAAGGAGGCAAACTAACTCTCTTAAAGACTCAAATCTGTCTCCTAAGCCTCAAACTGTCAAAGTCCTCCCACATCTATGGTCATTCAGTCAGTTCCAGACTGGAGGATCAAGGATAGACAACTGTGCAGCACCACCCACAGAAAACAAGGCTGATGAGCTGAAAGGCTCCTGTCAGTGTGAACCAAGAGTTGATCAAAGGGAAGAGGACACACTGAGATGCAAGAAGAAAAGGGAAGACCACTTGCCCCCAAAATGCTGACAATGGGAACCACTTGCTCGTCATTGGCACTGGGCTCTAGCCATTGTAAACTGATTTTACTCATGACCTATTGTTACCCCTGCAGTGTAAATGAGCCACAGAGCACTGACCTCACCCATGAAAACACTGTGCCACTCCATATATAGCTCCCAGGATAGCAACCGTCCTGATATAATGACATGTAGATGTGTGATATATGATTGACCCATCTCCCTCAGTGGATAGTGGCTGCTTGCAGAGCAGGAGCGTTTTCTTGTCAATCATCTAGTTTCTTGCAAGAGGATAACTATCTAGGGAGACTTGTCAATGATCACAGAAGTGAGCCATTGGTGGTATGGAGGTGGAGTCTGGATGGGTGGGTGGATGGTTTCATGGGTGTCTCCATGTTTATAATTGTACAGGTGGGTAGCCTGCCCCTCCAGCCGCAGCCTACCTGATGCTGCTCAGTACAGGAGTCACAGACCTTCTCATGGATCTCCTTAAAGAGCTTCTTCACCTCGTCACAGGACTCTTGGAGTGCATTCTGTTCCTCCCACAACTTTCTGTTCTCCAGCGCCAACACACGTACATCTTCTTTCAGCTGAGTCAAATATCGTAGGACCATGCTGTGGAGATAACTGAAGCAGCATCCAAAAATGGTCAGACCCACCCAGCCTCCATTTGCCATCCCTAACTCCAAGTATCACCAGCTCTGAAAAGTCCCAGTCCCCCTCCAGGCCAGGACTGCAGCTCAGAGTAGCCAAGCCAGCATCACTCAAAGCTAGCCCATATTCCCGACAACAATTACTTTCCAGAAAAATGGAAACTACTTCTGAAAATCCTGACCTAAAAGCAAATTGTGCTCCTAAGGACAGGATGCAGCCCCACTTGTGCTGAATGAGGGCAGAAATCCCAACTAGAATAAAATCTGTCTACCAGTTCCCATGGAAACCACATCTGTGAAGACCCTACCAGAGCCAAGAGGCCCTAGGCTTCAAGACTCCTCTTCATGGTGCATCATTTTATATCCAAGAAGGAGAAAGATGAGAGGACCTTGGTAGCTTTTCTCACTTAGCAAAACTGAGTCTGAGAGGCACGAGTCCCAGGGCAACAAGGCAGGCTGCTTGCTACGAGGCAGACAGGCCAGAACCAGAGCCCTCATCTTGGGCAAGTCCAAAAGGGCATAACCAGTCCCTCCCAAGCTAAATCAGGCACTTACATGTACAATTCGTTCTCCTCCATCAGCCCCATGCACTTGTCCAAGGCATCACTGATCTCCATGGGTAGTTTCTGAATGTCTGACATCACCTGGTTATGCTCCATTTTGAGCATATCAAGCTCAAAATTCAGCCTGCGGTAGGGCGTGGCCCCAGGAGAAAAGAACCCCATGAACACAGGTCTCAAGCATCACATGAAATCAGGCTCTGTCCTGGACTATGCCAGCCTAGTGGAAACTAGAGCCTGGCACCTATACACTGGGGCCTCCTGGTGCTTATTAACCTTACTAATGTGTTTCCAGGCCAGAAGAGACAGGGGATCCAAAGGCCATTATTCAGGGCTGCTTGAACACAGTGGACTTGCAGCTGTTCGATTAACTCTCTATGAAGTTCACAGGAGTCTGTGCCACATATCTGGGTCCACCAGAAACTATCATGTGTGGTGATACACTATTTACATTCGTTTACGCTTGCCTGAGGATTCAGAAAGCAAGGTCAGCCACAAGCCATATAAACCAGGCACACACCTTTAATTCCAGCAGCCAGAAGAGAAGAGGTGGTGGTACACACATTTAATACTAGGACTCAGGGTTAAGAGGCAGACAGATCTCTGTGAGTTCAAGGCCACGAAGATCTACACAAGATTGATTCAGTCCTAGAGATAAAAATCTCACACAAAGATGATCTCAGCACCTGGGATCACATGCCTTTAATCCCAGTGTTAGGGAAGTATATAAGACATGAGCAAGGTCTCAGAATCAGGCATTCGTTCAGCAGCCACAATGAGCTCTCTGGTAGCTTAGCTGCTTTGTTTCCCTGATCTTCAGTTTGAAACCCAGTATCTGTCTCAGTCTTTTATTATCTGTTTTAAAATGATTATATTTCTCCTGTCTTCAGAACAGGGATTCTCATTCCTGGGTGTGTATACCTACACAAAGGACCAGAGCACACATTCAGTATTTCCAGAGAGAAGTACTAACTTCAGATGGCATTATACACTACACAGGGGATTCAAATGTTCCACCAAGATGAGTGCAATGGCCAAGACATGTGCTGCTCCAAGTGGGGCTACCTGGCCTCAGCACTGGTAACTCTGGAAACCGTGAGAATGGCAAATCTTCAGACCCTGCCACAAACCCCAGACCTCCAGGCAGACACGCATTCCCACATGCACGCTACCCACAAACACCACATGCAATCAGGATGACCATGAAACGCAGGGAGGTAGCATAGTCACAGAGCATAGGGAAGAAACCAGAGAGAAGCAGTGATGAGCTTCAAGCCTCCCAGCCGCAAACTGAGATTCACGAATGTGACCAGGCCCCTCCAATTGCTGCCAGGAGCTTTCAGCACACAATCATCTGCCAGTCAAGTACAAAGACTCAGCACAAACTCACAGCACCTATTTTCTCCCACAGGCCAACACCTGTCAAGGCCTCTCGAAATGCATGTTGAGAACTCACACAGTACTTTCCCTATCCCCAGAGTGTGATTCAGGCCACTAGCTCTTCTCATCTTTTGGAGGAATCAGAACAGCCTGTGTCCCATCTCCTTCCTACCCTGATTCTAAGTCCTGCCACCCCAATTCAGTAAGGGAAATTAGTTTAGGCATTAACACACCCTGGAGGTTCAGCCTCCTGTTCCTCAGGAAAGTTTGGGTTGACATTGTAGAGTATAGATGGTCAACAGATCACTGGGCATGATGACTACCTGTTATTCAAATCCTTGTTGGTATAACTGGCCAGGATTCCACGAAGTTCATTTGTCTCACATGTCATATGCTGTAACTGAATGGTAAGTTTCTTCACCTCTTTCATGGAATGCTCCTGCTCATCGAAGGCAGAGAGTTGGGATGGTGCCTTTCCAGTAGATTCTACAGGTAGATAAAAAGAGTGAAGTTTTATACTTGAGACACATGTGGCAAGGAGAGTCTATGCTGAGTCCAAGAAGAAGCCTGTGGTAGAGAAAATGAAACGGACCCAGCAAGAGCCCCAAAGACCAGGACAGCTATCCCCAAAATTGAGTCCATGAACCATATATGTCTCTGTCTTCAAACACCATGGATAGGCATGTGCTTCATTCCATACTGCGGTCCCCTGAACTAGAAAGCATAGGCTAGCCCAGCCATGTACATTTTCAGGACAGTGCCAGCTTATATTTGATATGATGCAGGTAAGTCCTGATGTCCTTAGCAGCACTAAGTTCTCATCACATGTGTCCAGGGCCAAAGCATCTGAATAACTGAGACTTTGGTGCATGGTAACAGGAGTTTTCCTCCCTTCTAATTAGCATCAGATTCCCATGGAAACTAGGATGAAGTGGAGCAAATCCCCCCACCCCTGAAAGGGACACCTCATTAATCACTCCTTTGCTCCTACTGGCTTTCCTTTCCTCTCAGAATGAGATTAATATCCCAGAAAAGCAGCAGCAGGCTTAACAATTTATGGCTCTCCCAAACTGGCCATCAGGAACCATGTACTCAGGGCCTGCTCTTAGGGAACCCAGAGAATCAGGACATGCCCATTATCTCCAGAAGCTCCCAGATGCTGAGCCCCACTACTGGAAGGACAAGTTCAAGCTCTACCTCCTCCAGGAAGCCCCCATACTCTGCCCAGGACTCACTTTGCCTTCCTCTGAGCCATTTATCTCTCCATGTTTTACTCTGAGACAGAAGCTCAGCTTCCTTCTGTCTTTCTCTGGTTTCTTCTTGCTCTCCATTATCTCTCCGGAGTAGCCTGCTCAGTCTAGCCAACATGTCTCGGGCACTGAAAGAATACACCACAGTCATCTGGTGTTCCCACAGTACTGGTGACATCACAGGGAATACCAAGGACTCTCCAGGATACAATAGAATGCCCAGAGAAGGGAAATATCAGGGTCACCAGCTCCCTCACCTACCCACTAACTAGATCTTCTGCAATTCACTGGAAGCCACACTGCTCTTCCCAGGAGTCTTCCCAGATTCATAAGGGAAGACTTCATCACTCCCTCATTACAAAGCCAGAGGTCTCTCTCTGCTTCAGTAGAATATATTCATTAATTCATGTATTGGATATTGTAGATTCACTTCCAAACACATCCCAGGAAATGATTCATGTCTTTCTTGAGCTCTCTATTCAATAACTTTACAAACAAAAGTTTTTTAGGTAACTAAGTCAGGGTGGTGGGGAGGAGAGTTCAGTCCACTGAAGGCAAGTAGCATATTGTGTAGGATTCACAAGGCTGTTACAATATGTTGGTGTGGAGGGAGATTGTGGGTGACCTGACAGAACAATGATAAGTCCCATAACTGATGAAAATTATGAAAAACTTTGGAAGAATACATTCCAGCCATCATAAGTTATCAAATGTGTGATCATCTTGTTACAGGTCAAGCAGGAAATACTAAGAACTGGGTCTCCCATGTGATCACTCAACACAAGAGAAAACACTCTCAGAAGAGTGACGATCCACTCTTGAACTAAAGTTTGAGGAAATAATACTGGCTATTGAGAGCCCACACACAGATATGCAAAGGCATTTTCAGAAAATCAAATTTGTCATAGTCATGGGGAGAGGAAGTAGTGTGTCAGTGCTATGGAGCGTCACCTGGAACTACATAAAGGTCACATTCCTGGATCTGGAGCCACCTGTGACAGTGCACGTGCCCTTAGGAAAGGGAAGACAGCATGCTTAAACTACATGTCACTGGAGCATGGAGTGGGTGGGGAAAGGTCACAAAATGAGAGACAATTGGGGTTCTTTGCCCTACAAATTTCCAAGAGCCACACTCATACTTTTGAATTACTGCAGGTCATTAAATGAAGAGCTAGCACCATGTTCAGTATGGTTGTTCACCAGAAGACTTGACTGTGGCTTCAGAAGTGTTCTTGGTATACCCAAAAACAACCAATTGATGTGGTCTAAACTATGTCAATTCCTAAGTTATGTCACACTAACAACAATATCAGACAAGGTTAGATATCTCAGTAATACCCAATCCTGGAAGTCAAATGACAGCACCTGTACTCCACACTACCTCATCTCAGTCAAACGTGACACACTGAAGGATGCTCAGGAATTGACTGACAGATGAATGTTTGCCCTAGCAGGTTATGAAAGACCAGACTCGCGTCTCCTCCTCAGTGGATGTAAGTTGTCCATTCTTTCTATAGGGGGTGGATGTCTCAGAAGTTACCTGGTTTCCTCTGTCTCCCTGCACAAGACGACCCAGAGAGCAGCCTCCAAAGGCTAATTACCAGCTACAGAGGATGTGGCTTCAGAGCCCCCAGCCATGTGCTTTCAGAAGCCTGGAAATAATTGTATGATTACAAAACTCTGGTAGTGTAAGGATGTCGAAATCACTTGCATGATGCTTCAGACTCTCATGTTAATGGAGGGGCAGAACCTAGTCACCAGATTCACAAAGCCATCCTCACTGATAGCCCAGAACATCCAGAACTGACAGCAACAAGCAGTCTCTGCACAGATCTAATAGCTCTCTGGCTGTAATGGAGACCTGTTTGCCACCCATGGTTGAGATGTCAGACAGGAGCACTTGTTACCTCAGCCCTGCTAGTGGCTGAGATGTTGCCACCCAGCCTGGTACCCAGATTTTGACCATTGGGATCCACAATGAACAGAGAAGGAGCCAACTCTCACAAGCACATCACCCATTCTCATGGCCCCAAATCAGTTAATAAGAACCAGACTGACCCCTTGGGTATTTGGTCATGAAGTACTGGGGTGCCATCCTTGATCTCTCTAGTGACCTGGTCCTGAGCCCCACTCTTGTCTGTCTGTCCATGAAGGAGTCTTTTCCTCTCCTTGTGTAGATTCCCTTTCAGAAACCAGAGTAGAAAATTCATGGGGCTATTGCTCTTTTCCCTGGGGGAGACACAAGCCACAGCCTCACCATGAACAGCCATATGGCAAGACCTCCTATGGCACGTGCTACTACTGCATTTAAACTTCAGTCATGAGACGGGTGGCCCATGCTCTGGATGAGGAAACTGAGGGTCAGAGTGGCCCGTGTTGCACATCTGGAAAGCAGCAGAGATGCTGACAGTGCCTTCCGACACTGCACGTTGACTCTGGTCCAGTTCTGTTGTTAGAGGGACAAAGGGTGTTGAGGCCTCTGCTTCCTGCACTATCCTAACTGTCTGGACTCAGCCAATGCCCAAGTCCAGAAAATAACTAGACAAGCAAGTAAAATGCCTGGGCATATTTTCCAGGCTAGTCAGGGACAGCAGGAGCCTACTTCTGCCATATGCCAGGTCTGTCAGGTCTCAGACACCTGGGCAGCATCAACAGAGTGTGTCTTCCTAATTGTGAACAGGAGCAGGACACCCCAGGGTCACTGTGATGTGCGGTCTTGGAGATACAGGTGAGAGACAGTGAGTGGTCACATAAGTGGCAATATTTCAGGGCCTTGTGAAGGTCAGCAAGTTCCAGTATTTCAGAGGCAAGGAGGGCTCTATGGTCATGACCTTACAGCCCTCATCAGTGTTCTAGTCTCCACGAGACTCCCTCCTCCAGGTCTTTGGAGCCTGCATCCCTTCAGCTATGGGATCTCACCCCTTCATGGCAGACTGAGGGCCTGCTCGGCCACCAGCCAGGGATCTGTTTAAGTTTGGCCCAGAGCTCCTAGCTGTCAATCATCTGGAATGACAGGCAGCACATTAAGCTAACTAACACAGCTGCCCTTGGAGACTTTAATAGCATCTCACTTCCTCCCATGTCTATGGGGTGTGACATTTCTCACTTGGCAGTGAAGGTCAGGAAGCATCCTGCTACCCAGCCCTTGGGAGACATGCCCTGTGTCTCTGCATGTCCCCCCCTCTTTATAAATACCAGGGTGGTCTGGAAGCAGTGACCAAGACACCCACGTACTGACACTCATCTGCAGCCTGGACTTCTGGGTCAGACCTCCTCCCTCTCTTGAGTAGAATTCCATTTCTGTATCTACTTCCTCCTCTAGAGCTTTAGAGGAGTGTCGGGGCATATCTTCAAAAGAGTACCAGAGTGGGGAGCATTTCTGGCAGGTATATGGCCTAGGGCAAGTCACCAAACCTCTCTGGGCCTGGACAGCA